GTACTTTTATTTGATGTCCCTTTGTTTCTCCTCAGCTCTCATTACTTTCTCTTGCCTGTCTGACATGTTCTCATCACTCCTTGACAGCTACGTATTTATGAATTCAAACCTCAGAACCCATCCATAGATTTCAGTTTACCACTTACTAAAATTACAAAAATCAGTTCTTAATGGAGATTTTAGGGTTCAGCCTTTTAGTTGTTTTTCTCTTTCATAAACAGAGGGACAAGAATACGTGATAGTCATTTGGAAACCGTATTTTTGCCATGTTGCTGGCTTTTTTTTTTTTTTTTTTGGAGAGTTGTTTGTTTGTTTGTTTGTTTGTGTGCTTGTTTGTTTTTGCTACAGGGTGCTTGTGCTCGCCAGAGAGACAGAAAGCGAGAAATCACCCCTCAGGGGGGATGGCCACGCCGCAATCCCCTCTCTTCCATTCTCCTCTCGGGATCTTGGGCACGCACCCACACGCGCCCAGCATGAGTTTTAAGCCACCGGGTCCGGGACGTGAACTGCAGTCGACTACATGGGAGTCCAGTGACACAGCCATTAGGCTAACTGCTGGTCCCCCATGTATGTGCAGGCTGATGCTGGAATTATGGGCAACTTGACCTGCTACATTATCATTAGCATATGAGGGTAGTAACAGCTGTCAGGGTATGATACTGTGTCAACGCTTTAAACAGATGGATAGCACACTAAGGATTTTGTATTCTCTGTATTGATGAAGCATTATTTTGTAATACTCTGGCTGCATTTCAGCTGCTTACCTGTGAAAAAGGAACCATGTCTCTCTGATGTTTGAACATAGGAATTCACACATAATTTGTACAGGGTCCCAGAGAAGATACAGCTTTAGTCCAAAAGTATGGTTAAGCCTTTCTTATTATTTGTGAGTTTTTTTCTGTATTTTGATTTGAACTCACACAAAAGCTATCTAATTCTCAAGTGTCTGAAAGTATCTAGGGGCTCTTATTCTTTGGTCTTCACAAACTTTCTAGTATACACAAGAGAAGTATAAGGGGAACTCTCCTATTGTTCTAAGACAGTTTATGGAGTAAATATTTTCCTTCATGAGGTTTTAAGCGGATACCAGTAAAAGGTGATCATCTTCTAGAGAAGTTTCAGCAGTTAGCTCAGCTCAGTGAAACTCGATGCTTTAGAAGCAAGCTCTTTACAATCAGCTTCATATTTAACAACTGCTGTATTAGTATTTTCCAAAATTGTCTTTCATTTACATTATGGATTGCTTCTACAGTGATGCATTACTCCACATTCCTGACTTAGAAACGTATCAGAGAACCGTGTGTCTAAGATAGATAGAGGAGAAAAATATGTGGAGGAAATAATCACTATTTTCAAAATAAGAATTTTAGAGATGTCCAATACAATTTTACAAAAGAAGAGAAATAGACAGAAATTGATCAAGGGACCTGCAGGTGTCATAGTGGTTAAGGCACTGGATTCCCACGTGGTCGACTGTGGTTCGAGTCCAGACTTGGCAGCTTAAAACATGCTGGGTGCACATGCATGCATGCCCAAAATCCTGAGAGGAGACTAGAGGAGAAGGGATTGTGGACCCCCTGAAAGGTGATTTCTCACTTTTTCCCCCCCGGAGAGCACATACGCTGCCATGCAGCAAAAATATCTCTTTAAAGGAAAAAAAAAAAAAAAAGAATGAAAGAAGGAGAAACTGATCAAGAGTATATTTAGGGTCAAAACAGTGGTTTAATAATGTGTGCTTAATGGGATTTTAATTTTTATTTATCTTTTTTCATTTTAGTCTTGCTATAGGGTGCATGCAGTCCCCAGAGAGAGGCAGGGAGAGAGAGAGAACAAGAAATCACTTCCCCAGGGGAGTGGCCGAGTGGCCATACCACAATCCCTTCTCTTCTATTCTCCTCTTGGTATTTCTAGCATGATTGCACATCCACCTGACACATACTCCTCACATGTTTTTCCAGCTACCAGGTCCTGGACTTGAACCACGTATTCTGCCATGTGGGATCCAGCTGCCTTCATCACTATGCCATGGGCTGACTCCAGTTGGCATTTTTTTTTTAAGTACATGTATTATATTGAGAAAGAGACAAGCGCTCTCTATAGGGCCTTTGCATGCTCCTAACCCCTTCCTCCAGCCCTCTGGCTAGCAAAGATCTTGGGCACAAGCCCTGATAATTTTCATGTCAACTGGGGATCCAAACTGCAGTTGAGTTTGTGGCTTTCAGAACTACAGATCAAAACCACCTGTGCTCATGCTGATAGGTAGGCTGCTTTGGTATGTGTTATTGAAAGCAGCCTCAATAAAGAATTTCTGTCTGGTTTAAACATAAGAAACACATTGTTTATATAAAGAAATTAAATTATAACATTGAGAACAAATTGAAAACCTGTTCTAGTTAGAAGAGTAGATACCACTAATAGCTTTTTATAAACCCAGCACAATTTATGGTATTGGTTTGTTTTGTTGCTTAAGGTCTGAGATGAAGAAAAACGCTTTCTCAATTTCAGCACATATAATGAAATTTAATCATTTAGAATTTCATACGATAGACATGTTTGGATGGTCCATTTTAAGTGTCATAAATTTTATGTCTCATAAATAGGTTGTTGTAGGTGAATAACCATGCTAGCCTAGGAAGAAGAAAAAGATACTAAAACATCGACCCGTTTTCCTTTTCAATTTTTCTGGTACCTTTGTTGAATTATTTTCTTTCTTTCTCATTGTTGCTGAATAAAATGCCTTGTACATTTCAAATGGAGCAATAATTTATATTCTGTAAAGAAAGACTTTAAGAAACATGTTTTATTTATTTAAATATATGCTCAATTTGGGTGGAGAATAGCAAACCAAAATCTATTATTACATGAAGAATGAAACAAACCAATTTAGTATGCTTCTAGGTGTTGTTGCTCTGTGATACTGTAATATAGGTGAAAAAAAGTTGTTGATCTTCATACAGTAGAATAATAATGTCTATATTGGCCTGATCAAATTAAAAGTAATCAAAATAGTCTTTTATACTCTAATTCTTTATTCTATGAAAGTTAGACTAACATATACCAATAGAAATATTAGGGCCATTTTTGGCCTAGGTGGTTGGTTTTGAATAAATAATAGTTGAATTTATGAGTGGATAGGTTTATATTCATGCCCAGTAATAATATTCTGAGCACACGTTAGTTTCTACAAAATCTTAGAGACTTTATTATGTATTCTTATTAAATTTTGCTCAGTAAAACATAAAAGATGACAAAGAGTATCGTCATTATTTTAAATTAAACAAAATGTCAAGGGCAAATTAAAATTTTTAGAATGAATTTCCTAAAATGATAATTTTAGCAATTGTATACAAGTTTTAGAAAAACTGTGCCATATACTAAGAGTTGATTTATAATCCAGTTATTAGAAATGATTTGTATTGGGACCAGCAGATGACATAATGATTGATAACTTTGCTGGACTCCCACGTAGTTGACTGTGGTTCGATCTTGGACTTGGCAGCTTAAAACTCATGCCGGGCACAACTGCATGCATGCCCAAAATCCAGAGAGCAGAATGGAGGTGAAAGGATTGCAACATGGCCAACCCCTAGGGGATGATTTCTTGATTTCTCTGTCTCTCCAGTGAGCATACGTGCAATACAGCAAAAGTTTCTCTTTTAAAAAAAATGAAATGACTTATATTTAAAACTTTAGTGATCAGATGTAGAAGCCTGAATAATTTTATGTCCTTTTTTTAATGCTCAGAATGAATATGATACAGTAACTTTTACACCAGATAAAGTACAAATGTAGTAGTGAATTTTCCTGTTTTGTTGCCAGGTACTGTTAGAAACTCTAGAGTGTGATATTGTTGAGTAAGGGTTAGAATCATTCATTGTAGACTTTTAGAGCTAGAAGGGATATTTAAGTTACTTTTTAAAATTCAATCAAGATATAATCAAGGTTACAAATGAAAAATACATGACATACATGACAAATCAACAAGTAGCTTGAAATTATTGGGATGAATAGAAAGAGAATATTTAAATATATCAAATCAAAATTCCTATTATATTATAACAGAGACTTATAATGCAGTAATGGAATACACCAACAAAATGAATATTTTTAGTTAAATAGGTCACATATATACCATTTTAAGTATATAATGCTTTATATTCTAAACTTGTCTTTAGAAGATTTTATGCAAAATTTCTGCTTATTTTTAGATTCGTATGCCCTGGTTTTTTTTTAATTTCCTATATAATGATTTTACTCTTTTTTTTTTTTAAAGGTTTTTGCCACAGGGTGCCATGCACTTGCCAAAGAGAGACAATGAGAGGTAAAGTGAGAAATCATTCCCTGTGAGGATAACCATGCTGCAATACCTTTTTCATTCTTTTCCCGGAATCTTGGGCACACACACACGCCCACATGATTTTCTTTTTTTTTTTAATTTTATTTATTCACTCATTTATTTTAATTTGACTGGACACACACACACATATACACACACACAGAGAGAGAGAGAGAGAGAGAGAGAGACTGAATGAGAGAGAGAGAAAGCCACCAGGTCCAGGACTCAACCTATGTTGGTGTCGGCCATGTGGGACTGTCCAGTGCCTTAACCACCACACCACCTGCTGGTCCCATGCCCGCATGATTTTCAAGGCACCAGATCCAGGACTCAAATTGTGGTAGGCCATGTGGGAGTCCAGTGCCTTAACCACCAGGCCACCTGCTGACCCCAAGTTTTCACTCTTTTTTAACGATTCTGTCTGTCTCTCCTAATAGTTTAAAAGATGTATTTATAGTAGAGACCTTGTCTTTTTTTATTTTGTACTTTCATACATTCAGTTTTAATCATGTTTACTGTCACAGAGCAGTTCAATTATTTGAGAAATGAATTAGCGTCCCATAGCGATAAGTGAAAAATTCATAAACATTCAAGCAATAAATCTGCATCTGTTAAAATGTGTAATTAACAAAAATAAATTTGTGTTCCATTTTTCTCCCTACAGTCTCCAAACGTCCACAACTACCCCGATATGGAAGCCGTTCCCCTGTTGCTAAATAATGTGAAAGGGGAGCCCCCGGAGGACTCGCTATCAGTAGATCACTTCCAAACACAAACTGAGCCAGTGGACTTGTCAATAAACAAAGCCAGGACATCCCCTACTGCCGTTTCATCCTCCCCAGTTTCCATGACAGCATCTGCCTCCTCACCTTCTTCAACTTCAACCTCCTCATCGTCTTCTAGTCGTCCAGCCTCATCCCCAACTGTTATAACATCAGTATCTTCAGCATCATCTTCGTCAACAGTATTAACTCCAGGGCCCCTTGTTGCCTCTGCATCTGGTGTGGGAGGCCAGCAGTTTTTGCACATTATCCATCCTGTACCGCCTTCAAGTCCCATGAATTTACAGTCTAACAAACTGAGTCACGTTCACCGCATCCCTGTGGTGGTACAGTCGGTGCCTGTTGTCTACACAGCTGTACGGTCACCTGGAAATGTGAACAACACTATTGTCGTGCCGCTTTTGGAGGATGGGAGAAGCCATGGCAAAGGTAAGAGACACAAATAGGGTCTTGATTTATTTCAGCAGTAGAGATAACTATTCATTTTTCCTGTGCATGGAAACTAAATGATATGCAAATACTGCATCCAAAAAAGTTCGGTGCAAAACAGCACCGAATAGCCACTGAGGAGCCATTGGGCAGAGCACATTTTAGTAGGAACTCTTCGTTTATGTAGGTATGTGCTTCAGTTTCACTTCCTGTATATTTTTGTTTATCAAGTAATTTAATGTCAGAATTCATACATCTGCAATTGCAAAATATTGTTCCCTTCCAATGCTCAGATGGGAGGAGCAATCCATAGTTTACATAATTGCATTGCTTGTGAGGTATAAATCCATAAGTCCCTCACAGAAATTAGCCATTATGAAATTAAAAAAAAAAAAAAGTCAGTCAGGGCTTTTCTCCATTTAGTTAATTCAGACTAAAGTTATTGAACGGCAATAATAATTTAGCCATAAAGTTGCAATATCTACAACTTGACCTTTCTCTATTGAGTAATGCGTAATTTGAGTTATCTTTAAAATAATTCTGGAATTGGCTGTCTGGGTATAAAAGTAGGCTGTACTCCTATCTTTTTACAAGTCTAAGTTATTATTACTTTAAATAGTAAGATGACTAAATATAATGGAAATATTTCATTATTCAATATTAATATTCCCTTCTAGGGAGTAGAAGGCAGGAAGATACTTGTCTTCATCATGACTGTGTAATAATATGTAGTTATTTAATTAAATTTGACAGTCATGTACCTGATCATAGAGTTAATTTTCTACTTTTAAGTTCTTCATTTTTTACCAATTTTTACTCAAAGGATTTGCGATAGCATCATGCCATCTTTTCTTTTCTTCCCTACCCCTGAATCAAAAAATAAGCCAGCCTTCTGTAGCAATGTAAAATGCCCATAATCATGCTTCATTCCCTTTGAGCCTGATTACATATGTATGCATTTTGTCTTCAGAGACTAGAAACGTTGATGGATTAAGACTTGAGTTGTATTACTTTTTGCTTTGACACTATTGCTGAGGCCCTTAATTAAAATATGATCGATGAATACATTGCTTCCTCATAAGATGCTAGTAGCCATGGTTGTTTTCATTCTTATACAAGGTAGGATCGATTACACAGAAATAAAATTTGATTGTGAACTTAGAGAAGTTTTTGCAAACAGATACTGTAGAATTGGGCATTCACCATTGGCAAGTTATTGTTTGGTCTATAGTGAGTGACTTCATAGCACATGAGATGAATTTTACCTTTCCATTTCTAAATAAGGGGAAGTCTCATGATTCTCAGCATACAGAAAATTTTAGGCTATGAACTGGAAATGTAGAACACTCATTGCTTATCTGACAACCCTTCCCTTTTGTGTTAGGAACTGGTCCCACCACCCTCTACTGAAAAGGCAAAGGAAAAAGGGAATTAGGCCTTTCCACTAATTTTACTTGAGCCAAACTTTTATTGATATTGCTAATACTTCAGCTTGAAATGAACTGATCTATTTAAATAATGATAGTAACTGGAGGCCAAATCGGGTATTTATTATCCCTTATAATTTAGAGACTTGATGGTAAGTTTTTCAAGATTAGGAATTAACCAGTAGTAAAATGAAACCATGCATATTACATTCTTTATGTTTGTGTGTATACGTACATGATAGAATTCCAATTTTCGTGCAAGCCTACTTAAGAGAAATATTGCTTTCATTATAAAATTGATTAGTAAAGATTTGAACATTGCTCATACCTTTATATACAGCTTTGATTCACAAATGAGGGCAACATTATCCATTTTTATTTGAAAGCATGATATATACGTAAAGTATGTGGCCAGAATTTATTCTGGAAATTAGATCATTGTAGTAGGACTTGAAGACTCATTCTTTAATTTGTTCCCTACATGAGTAAACGAGCTATTTTCATGTAGTATTTTTTACACAGTAGTATTCTCATATGAAGAACAAAAATCTGTTTAATCATAAACCCATCGGACTGTGCTGTGGTTGTCAGGAACGTGAGATTTGGGATCAAGAATGTACGAGTTAGAATTCTGGTTGTGTTGCCTATAGCTGTGGATGTGAGAAAGTCATTTAATCTCACTAATTGTCATTTTCATCAGTGATTAGATGGGGATAATTGTATGAACTATTCTAGAAGATATTGGGAAGATCACGTAAGAGAATGATGGGTGACTGTCTATCATTGATCCAGTATTGTAAATGTTTCCAATTATTTCTCATTATTCTCTTTTCCAAAGAATGTCAAAAGCAATCATGTTCAATTATTTTTTCTTTCCCGGAGGGCAACATTATCCATTTTTATTTGAAAGCATGATATATACGTAAAGTATGTGGCCAGAATTTATTCTGGAAATTAGATCATTGTAGTAGGACTTGAAGACTCATTCTTTAATTTGTTCCCTACATGAGTAAACGAGCTATTTTCATGTAGTATTTTTTACACAGTAGTATTCTCATATGAAGAATAAAAATCTGTTTAATCATAAACCCATCGGACTGTGCTGTGGTTGTCAGGAACGTGAGATTTGGGATCAAGAATGTACGAGTTAGAATTCTGGTTGTGTTGCCTATAGCTGTGGATGTGAGAAAGTCATTTAATCTCACTAATTGTCATTTTCATCAGTGATTAGATGGGGATAATTGTATGAACTATTCTAGAAGATATTGGGAAGATCACGTAAGAGAATGATGGGTGACTGTCTATCATTGATCCAGTATTGTAAATGTTTCCAATTATTTCTCATTATTCTCTTTTCCAAAGAATGTCAAAAGCAATCATGTTCAATTATTTTTTCTTTCCCGAAAAAAAAAAAAACAAAACAGAAAGTTAGAGGGAAAACCAAACTTGTTAAATGTTGTAAAGAAACATTGACCCAAGAAGTTTGTATGGGAATGCTTCTCAAAGTTGCTACTACAACCATTATAATAGAAATGAGAGTTTAGTATGAGAAATTATCTGGAAACATCCCATATTTTCTATTTTTATTAGTCTATATTAAGTTTTTATCATCACCATATTCTACAAGTATTACCAAGGCATTTTATAAGTTTTTTTATTGTTCATGATTAATTAGATGATAATAAAAGTGCCTAGTGGAGGAAGTCTGCCTACCTCACAAAGTGAATAAAGGAAAGGGCATTTCAGTAATTCCTCAAGCCTTTATTTCGTATGTATGCAGCTGGGCACTGGGCCAGTAATGAATGGCTGGGTGTCAGAGGGAGCCCCTATTCCCTTCCCCCGTAGGACTTGTATATTTGGTATGGATGAACAAGAGAAAATACAGTATCTGAATTTTAAAAGTGCAAGTAATAAAAATAGTAAATGTATCTCACATAAATGTAGATGATTATACTGCCAAATTACTTTTAAAGTTGATATAACATATCTAATCTCTGTTAAGAAAAATAAATTATCCTATATGTCACATTTCAGAAAAGATGGTGAATATAAAAGATGGTGAATATATAGGCCATACCTAACCTAATGTATCATGTGAATTGAATAATTTGTGCATACAAGTGTTTATTGAGTATCTGTAATTATTGAAAATTTTATTGACACCAGGTTTATTAAAACAAATGCTCTTTTTATCTCACAGAGCTTATTAGTCTACCCAATGTAAGATATTGACATTGAACAACAACCAACAAAATCACAGGAATAATTAAATAATTGATAATTATGGACAGAACTGGATTAAAACATAGATCAGCCAAGGATTTGTCCAGTAGAGGCAGTTTAATTATAATCTCGTATAGAAATAGTTGAATATGACAAAAGTATTTTTACAAAGGATGTAATACAAGTATGGTTGGAAGAACTGGTCTAACGATGATGCTCAGAAGGAGATGATTAAGCTTTGGGGAAGTAGTAGGATGAAACTAACTTAAAGGATGCATGACTAAAAACAGAGGATGTGAAAATGCTTTCTACTAATGTTCAAATCTCAGCCCATCGAAGCATGTAAAGAATATTGGTCTACAGGAATGGCATGTCTTTAGCTAGCCCAGAACAAGCAGATATCTCCATCAGAATGTATATGTCTTATGAAGAAACGTGGAATGATGTTCTTGAAGGCACAGTAAACAAATGTAATTTAGAATAGAGCTATAAAGGGAGCAGGTCCTAGAAGGTTTCCCAAGGAAGACACTTCATTACAAGGAGCAGTTAAGCCCCCACAGCATGGTGGCGTTGAGGGTGCTGAGCCCTCTGTGTAGAACAGAGTTTTGCTACTATATAACCGAAGACATAATATTTATAATATTATAAACATAATCCCCCAAAGGGATTATTTGACCTCATAAAGAAATTTCAGTCCAGCCTAGGGAAGTTTGCAGTAGATTACCCAGGAAATTTGCATTTGTTTTTATAGATATTTAATAGCAGAGAAGAATAGAAGGTCATAGAGAATAATTAGCCAAGTTGTTCTTGCCTTGGTGGAAGAGTAGACATGTTCATGATTCTCCTTCCTTCAAATATGTAATGTGCATTTACTGTTGAAACATACCAAGCACTGAGGAGTAGAGCTTCTAGAGATTAAGCAGTTCCTATTGTTATGGATCTTGTATTCTAGTGGAAGAGGTGATCATTATATCTCAGATTATGTAAGTGTTATGACGAAAAATGAAGGGAATGGAAAGTTAATAGAAGAGGGGACACAATTTCAGATATAATCAAGGAAGGCCTCTCTAAAAGTAAGCTATGCTAATAATAACCTGGGGAAGACATTTTCTGAAAGAGGAACTGCTAGCTCACAGACCCTGAGCCACTACTGTAGGAGATTGAACTGCAGGCAGACCTGGGACTGGATAGGAGTGAGCACTGGGGAGAGGTGGAGAGAAGGGCAGAGTTGCAGGTGACGGATCTGAGAGGGCCTCTGAGGCACTCTCAGATGGCCAATCATGGTTTGAGTCCCGAGCCTGGTGGCTTGCTTTTTCTCTTTCTCTCTCTCTCTCTCTCTCTGTCTCTTTC